TACAGTAAATAAGGCAAGGCAGGTTTATTTGTACAGCACATATACAAAGGCAGTTCAAAGTGCTTAACACGATACACACAAATACATAAAAAAATGCAATGTATACACAATGCACACAGGTGGATAACACATTAAAATGCATACATATATAGTAAAACATTAGAATGAAAATTAGATTAGAACATTAAATGCTAATTAAAGCAACAATTGCATGACAGCACAAAGTAGCAACATGCAAGTGTAGATACCTAGTAATTTTAGCAAAGCTGTGGCAGACTGTGGATTCTCACTGTGTTCATTATAATTTGTACCCCTTTACTTCAGTCTTCCCATGATAATATTTATCAGGAGAAGGGATCCCTCTCCCGACACAGAGGCATGTCATTGCAATTAGTGTGTAGTAGCCTAGGGCCAGGATGTAGGAGCCAGTTTGGGTGTGCTCACTGTGGGGTGTTTGGGCATGTACATGCAATGCATCAATAAATACTGCAAGTAGCTAAAAGTCGTTGGTGTCTTCTATTATTTCCTTTATTATTATTTCTCTCACCTTCCTCACTCTATCTTAGCCCCTGATTGCTTACATCATACACCTGCTCCTCACTACCAGGATTAGCACCAGCTGCACTCCATTAGTCCGCCCTTATTTATACCCAGTTCACCTCTCACTCACTTGCCAGTTCGTTCACGTTATCAGGCCTTCACCTTGTCTCTCTGCTAAGTACGTCCTAGTCTGTTGTTTTGTGTTGTGTTGTTCCTCTGCATTCCAGTACATGATTTTTTTTTTAATATCTTGGTTCCAGTGGCACACATAGTTTCTCCTGGCCAGTTTTTTTTTCCCCTTCCTTTTTGGACCGCCTTTTCCTCCAGGCATCGGCTTCATTCTACCCTCCCAGACAAGTCGATGCACAGTCACCTAAATTATCCCATGTCAACTCCTCTCTACCTGTGTTTTTTCCAGCATCTATCATCACCTCATCGACCAGCTCAGGAGTGACCCCGCGACACAGCTCGGCCCCACCACATTCCAGCTCATCACTCCAGAACTCCTGCTGTTGGTCGACACCCAGTTTTCACCTACTCACTTACCTGTTTCTTGTTTATCACTGTACTGCACTGTATATTAATAAACCACTACTTGCACTGAAGTTGGCTACCTGGGTCCGCCTCTCTGTCGCTCACTTACTTCCGTGCACAAGCGCATATCCTAACAGAGCTTACGTGAAGGCCTTGCCTGGAGATTCCACGAGTGAGGACATACCACAGGATGAGCTACATACATTGGAACAGCACGTAATCCAGTATTTTCACAACATTAATATAAATATTTCAAAGGAGAACATAACAGTTTGTCATACACCTTCGAGGCAAAACAGTAAGCTGAAGCCAACCATCATAATCAAATCTGCAAACGGATGACACAAGATTAACCTAGTGAAACATCCATCCATTTTCTATACTGCTCAGTCCCAAACGGGGTCATGGAGCCAATCCCAGCCGGCTGCAGGCGAGAGGTACACCCTGGACAGGTCGCCAGTCTATCGCAGGGCTAACATGCAGACTAACGGAACTGTTTCGCTGTGAGGCAACAGTGCTAACCACCGCGCCACTGTGCTGCCCCTATTGAAACAAGCAACAAAAAAAAGAAATTGCTCATCTTAATGAACAACTCACTGAGAAAAATCCAGATATAGCCAAGCAGGCATGTCTCCTAAAAAAGCAAAATGAAATACAAGCTAGCTAGATGTGTATAATGTGTGTAAACTGTAGAGTATGGATACCTCTGGATGGATATCCTGAAGAGGCCAAAGTGATGGCCTTAAGAGTTAAGAGAGTCAAATGACCTCAAACAGTTTAGATGATAAATATGGCTAAAGACATGAGCAGTCTCATATTTCGTTGTGTCATTGTTTTACTTTTCTTTGTTTTGTTTTGTTAAATGTTAGAACTAAAGTCAAAGATTTGTCAGATATGATGGGTATGATGCAGTAAAAGACTACTACTTCAATTGGATCAGTTAAAGTTGTAATAGAAAAGCAGTGGACTATTTAAAAGACGGATTCTATACAAGGGAAAATGAAATCAACACAGAGTATTTTCTTCAACTCTGTCCATAGTGACTGTGAATATTATACTGAAGAACAAGTTGATGCGTTACAGTAGAAATTATGTTTGAGAATTTTAAACATATAAGTCATGTGTATTGAGTACCAGGTACATGCACTGATACATTTAACAATCAGTTGAAATGTATGAGAAAATAATTAACAGGTTGTTTTTTATGTGGTGATTTGAACATTGATTTACTTAAACCACGAGGTCATAGAGGAACTGTCTTTATTAATACCATAAATGGTATACATTTATACACTATGATTACTAAACTGAGTAGAATAACAACATATAGTGCAACTTTGATAGTTAATGTACACTGATCAGACATAACCTTATGACCACCTAATACTGTTTAGATAGGAGTCAATGTGGCAGTTGGTTGGCGCTTGTGTCACTCTGCAGCTCACTGTGCATCTTTTGTGAATCCATTTGCTTCCACAGTTCTACTGTCAGGAAGAGCACAGATGTGTCTACAATTCAGTGAGAAACTTATGTAAAAGGAATAAAAACGGTGGTCATGAGGATGAGTTAGAGAGAATTTTTTAGACCAATCCTCCTTCTAGGTGTGATATCATCACTACAGCCCCTGACTCTTTCTCTGCATAGAGACCAGAAAGTCACTTTCGGTTTTTCCCGTTTTTTTGGGGTCGTCACAGTGAATCGTCACACTGACGACTCGCATGTTAACATTTGGCACGTGTTTTACGCCAGATGCCCTTCCTTACACAACCCAGATTCGAACCCGAAGCACAGCGGTGAGAGCGCTGCACCTTAACCAGAGACCAATGTACTGTATTTCTCATTTTCAACCATTTTAACAAAGATTCAGATACATTTGAATCTTTTGAAAAGTACAAATAGAATGTATTAATGTAAATTAATGTAGAGTGAAAAATCTGTCCCTGTGTTTGGGTGTATGATAATGAACATTATAGAAGTGGGGAGGTTACCCTCTGACATACACCTTCCCCCAGTGATCCATCGCCTACCGGTCAGTCTCCCCAACCTCCATCCTGCCCTCTATCCGCCCACTCCAGCCAGCCCCCCAGCTCCTCTCCAAAGACAAGTTGGTTCTCAGGGGGACTAAAAGCTGTGTGTGTGTGTATGGACTTGGAGTATGAATGGCTCAGTGTTTTTCACAGGGACGTGAATGCAGTATGTTGCTGCTGGCAGACAGACTTGCTCATTCACACTCTGCCTTTCCACTTTTCCAACTCACTTCTCTGTCACCCTGCTATGAATACAGGCCTGTGCTCTGGAACGCACACACTTCCATACAAACAGGGACCAAGGGAAGCCCTTAGAATTTCTGGGTATAAGGGTACTATTTCAAAAAGAATTTCCCCAATGTATTATGTTTGTACCATGCTAAAATAGGACACATTTTTGTTAAGTTGGTATTATTCCCTCCCTGAAGTGCACCAGCCCATCAAACAGTAGGTCTAGTACATTGTACTTTTTACTTTGTCAGTGGGATTATCCCCGGATAGCATTCTCATCTTCACTTATGTTAAGTTTTTGGTGTGTGCCAAACCAACAAAGACATCACTTGATGCGTTCAAAGACTGCTTCTTCTAAAAACATCACCCAACAGCAAGTACTGTACTGGGAAAACCTTCATGACCTGGTTAAATATTGTGTCAGTATCAGTCAGTTCTTTATATGCAAGTGTTTTGTATACAGACATGTGAAAATGATAAGAAACAGTGGAATAAATAACTATGGAGCCATGACAAATGCAGATACATCCATACAGGACACGAGGGATCACTGAATGGTTTGATGACCTGAATCATATTCGGTGGACTTCATGGTCACCTGATCTCAACCCACCTGAACAGCAGTGACACAGTGGGCGGGGCTGAGTGATCAGCCAAGTGAGTGTAGCTCATCTGGCTTCAGTCCTCATTACAGAAGAATTAACATCTGCAGCAGGGGCTGCATGTCTCCAGTTGACCTAAAGGGGTCTGTCATTCACCGGCCATAACAGTAATGCTGCCTTCATATACTGGGGGAAATACTGGACTTGCAGAATAATAACAGCATTACAGTAACAGCCTATATCTGACACAACACGATTTCAGTAAATGCTGATGTTTACTCATCTTAATAGGCTGTGCAGTAATGAGAACTAAAACTCTGATGAGCAAAGCTGTTTCTGGACAGTGTTCACTTGCTGTCTCCTTTCTTTTTGTGGCTCGAGAACAGTCCTTACAATCTACATGTAACAGCAGGGGTGTCTTTAATGTCGGAGAGGTTTAGTTTGGTCCCCAAAATTCCTCCAAAGGTGTGCAAGGTTTTACGATGACCCTTGAGATATGTTTGTTCTGGTTTGGTAGGCATGTGCTGGAGATGTTTAGAATGTTGTTGCATGGGCACATGTGCATAATGGGTGGCATCTTACACCATCGTGTGTATATTTGAGATGTATACCTACATGGAAATACATGATACAGAAGAGAATATATTTGCACCAAGATATGCATGTGGTATTTGTTTCTTATGGTGTTATGTTGTTTGTTCTCCATTGCTGCTGAAACACTGAAATTTCCCCACTGAGGGATCAATAAAGTACCTACCTACCTACCTACCAACTGAAACAGCCAGTAAATACAATTTGTATCAGGATATATAAATGCACCGCTGTTTTTGGTGTTAGAATATCTTATCTTTACTTTTTTGGTGGGAGGCAGACAAAATGTTATGGGTTTAAATGTATCCCGCTAAATTAATACCATCATTTGATTTTGCCCTCATTTGCCTGTTCTAGAAAGTATGCAAATTTTACGCTCAAGCGTGGTTTTGGAAAATAACAAGGAGCATTGAAAGCAACACAGCATATCCCAACCTTGCCACCCCCCTTTTTACTCCCGTGGAAAGCTGGGCGCAGAATGTGACACCCAATCTTTCAGTCCTCGCGCTACTCACCGGCTGCGCGCGGAGGAACAAACCTGCTGTGTGAAACCAAGCAAATAGAAGAAACAAAACAAACTTTTGACAAACTGGAGTGACTGCACTGTTTTTTCACCAAGCTGTTAGCTGTGCAAATTAGAAAAAGACTGAGAGTAAAGAAACAAGTCTGGACCGAACGACAATGGAATATGTGATTTGTTAACCTCGAGGAATAACTTTATCTTTTCGGCTGACTTGTCCCCGTATACAGGCTCCGGATGAAGACAAACGGGATACTCTGAATGAAACCACCGAAACGTGGTTGCTCCGCTGTAAATAGAAGTAAATCCGCGTTTTGAGAAGGTGAATGAAACCCTGGGCAAGGTGAGTGGCAGCGTTGTCTGCCTCTACTCAAACAAGACACACTTGCTCCAGTTTGTCCCGTTTCGAAGTAAAAATTAACTTACAAATGTGCATTTTTCCACGTTTCCCTCTAAATGCCCTCGCTTCTGTCTTGTGAGCAACAGGAGTTGTGACGATGTTCAGACTTTTAACCACAAACATGAATGTGTGTTTGCTGAAACCTTTCGTTTAACGACAGGTTAACAACAGCTAACGTTACGCTTTAACACCAAGTCGGCTCACTACTGGCTTCCGTAAGCAGCCACCTGGCGTCGTCGATCCGAGGCGCTGGTTATCCAGTAATGTTTAACTTATTATTTTGTAGCCTACATAGTGTGGCCACCATTTAGTTACGTTTAAATGCCAAGTGGCAAAATAAAATCTGCAACTAAGACAAGTCTAAAAAAAAAAATCATAGCGTTACATACATTATAGACAAACTGTTTCACAGCAGCCCACGTTAATTTAGCCACCAGCGAGCTAGGGACCTCGCCAGTTTGACTCTGGGGTATATCTCTCCAGTTCTCCACTTTTCCTCCCGAGCTTAACACCGCCAATTGAAGTCGTCAGAATTAGTCGCAGTACCACTCACCACGATTTACTATGTAGGTGAGGACTGTGTGATTAGCAGATCTGTATATTATGTGCCGAATTTACCAGAAAGGCCTACTAACTCAGAAAAATGGCTTGCATTTTATTTCCTTATGCAGGTTTATTTGTATTTTTCTTTAAATAACAAAAATTAATAGGTCACTGTCTCCTTGATATTCACACATGCATTCCAGACCACTGTACTACTGAGAAAATCAGTGGAAGACCAAAAAATCCATTACATAATTATATCCTAAGAAAAAAATCAGTCAACCATGATTCTACCTAATATAAACATTCAGAAATTACCTGTAGAGATCAATGGTGTGACTCAATTATTCTTTAACGTCAAAGGTCAGATGCAAGTCTTCTATTTTTTTAACATGGTAACTTGTTTAATATTTTATTAATATAAACTTGGTGACAAGTGTCATCATGGCTGTCAGTCCAACAGAGGGGCTGCCAGAAAATGTTTGTGTGGACCTTTGTGCTTTTCTGTTCCATGGGTGATGGTCTCCTCTCACAGTGTGTAGTGCCTTCGTCACCTAAGGCCATCTGCTCCTATATCTTATAACATAATTGATGGCTTAGTATAAGCCAGGAAATGAGATGGAACATCCCCTCGTAATGATGATGGTTATGGTGATGATGGCTGTTCATTTATTTTAGATTGTTGGTAGCTTTGGGAAACTAGGATGTGTGTACTCGCATAATTGCTGCCACTTTGAAATAGAAACCTTTCATGTTTTAAGAACAATACCTTATGGTGACAAAAGTTACTTTTGACGGCAGTATAAAGCCATTGTAGCTGCACTGAAATAGACATTTCTTTGAAGCATTGTAGCATGGTTAATTTTGTGGTGGACCCAAATTAAATGTCCCTAGTTTTCAAGTTCTAAAATAAAGACAGGCTGCAGCTGCTATAATTTGTGAAAGCTTTACATTGCAGTCTCTGAGACTTAAGTGGAGCAGGTTTTCATTGTTCCTGAAGAGAATAAGTACTTATTAGAAGAACTAGTAGCCAGCACGTTCTTGTACCTGGGTAAAATCAGACACCAGGGCTCGGACCTCTCTGCACTTACAAGATGAACTTTGGCCCAGTGTATATATGGCATCATTACAATGTGTACATGTGACCTTTAAAGGTTGACCCGCTGTGATGTGAGATGGGAAAAATGAAGATACAAAAAGGACTGTTTGTTTGGCTCATTTCACTTTCCTTCAGATAAAAAAAACTTACTGACATTTCAAGGAATATGATAAGAATTTCAGAGTCAGTTGCTTATTTTCCCTGTGTTGTGTTGTATCACTGAAATAAGACACCTGTGAATAAAGTCAGGCTTCATTTTTTTATTTCTATTTTGAAATGAACAGAATTTTGCATAAGATGAATTACTTTTTAACTAAACTAATAACAATTTTACAGATGTCCACATGTAATAGACAGGATCTGTTACAGCAGTGGTCGTTAAGTGTTTCTCCAAAAAACAAGATTAACCTCACAAATTCTGTCACAGTCTAGGTGCTAAAGTTCAAAAGGTCAAGAGGGTTGGGCAGCTTTTGTTTTCTGTGTCTGGCATCTGGATGGAGCAGGGGTGTCACAAGCTTTTATCATCTTGCTTCCACACTCAAATATCTTTAATGCAGACTTCACTCAGCTGGTGTGAATGTGAAATCAAATATTGTGGGAGAGCATGGGGAAACATGCCTGTGATTTTCTTTGCTTCACATTCTATGTGGCATTTATATTGCAAGTCTGATAATGAACAGGTGGGGAGACATCAAGGACAGACTGATGATTTGATAAACTGTCTGGCTGGTGATGGAACTAAATTTTATGCTTGGTGGTAAATTATTTGTGGACATTCTACACTCAGGACAGAGCTGTCACTGTGAGGTGCCAAGTCACAACTACAAATATATTTGTCTTTAGAAAATGTTGGATGACACTTCAAATGAGTCAGATTCACTTTTCAATACCCAAACCTTTACACCTCAATATTTTAGATGTTGCAACACTTTCCATTTCCAAATGAAATTAGCTGATGTTTTTGACATTGTCTGTGATCAGTATTATTATTATTATATTTTTTTTTTTGCCTTGCCTGTTGATGAGCACGATTACCCTAAAAGGGATCAGAATTTTTTGGAAGACCTATGAATGCTCGACCTGCCCAGCAGGGGTTTAGGTCTATTCCACTCCTATGACCAGATTGAATACTCAGATTAGTTATGTCATTGAGCATTAAGTCGGTAACTTTATCAGAGTGGTCTGGCTGTTTAATGGGGCTTTGTGAGCCAACAGATACACCAAGATTAGGGATAATATGCTGGTGGTGCAAACCCTGAGTGGAAAGACGGGCAAAGAATCTGATACTTGTCCTGTTACATACATCACACTTTAGGATACCTCAAGATAGTAAACATTAAATATAGCCTCATGTGAGGGTATGTAGATGTTAAGGTGCTTGGGCACAGACTGTAGCACTGTGTTGTAATGCATCAAATGAGTAGTTTCTTGTGCTTGGATTTGCACATTTTTTCTGTAGTAGAGTTCAAGCCAAGCTGGATGGGCCTCCATTTCCATCTGTTTCCAGTAGCAGGGAGTAATCCTAATGACTCAGGCTCAGCCGCCTCAGGGCTGAGTGGGGGCCGAGTTCCACCTTAAACATAGCTGGCTCATCAAGACACATGATTGGCAAAATGTTGCGTTGAGGGAACAGCCATATATTCAGCTTTGATTTTTTTTATCCGTTATTTCACTGCAGCAAGATCTGATAATGAGGTCTCTCAGTTGGTCTTCTGATGAGGGGTTAAAATAAAGCCTAGCACCAAGGGCTCCATGTTGCAAGTAGTAATACCACACCCACACCATAAGTTATGTGTCACTTCTCAGTGGCTCACGGCCAAATTTCATCAAAATTCTCATGTGGTTTGACTGTCCGCACCACATGTGACCTAGGCATATGGAAATATATCCACAGAAAACATGAATAATTGATAGATTCACAGTTTAAGTAAGAAAATAAGGTGTTTTCCAGGGACACAAAGTAATGTCTATGCATAATGTCAAATCAAGCTATGGCCAAATAGCTTTTGTCTATAAGGTAGGTAGGTAGGGAGGTAGGTAGGTAGGTACTTTATTGATCCCTCAATGGGGAAATTTCAGTGTTTCAGCAGCAATGGAGAACAAACAACATAACGCCACGAGAAACAAACACCACACACATATCTTGATAGCAAGAGAATAACACAAAGCAAACACTGGAAAACTTAATAAAAACATGAAAGAAAACACGACGAGACCAGAGAACCACACTACTTATCCGATTTGCTTCACTGGCATACACCCACACGTTCTCTGAGGTCAGCCAATCAACTTCTTTTGAGCGTGCCTAGAACTAAGCGTAAGCTTAGAGGCGACCAGGCCTTTGCGGTCGCTGGTCCCAAACTTTGGAACGATTTACCGCTGCCCATCAGAAAAGCTTCTTCTCTGTCTGTTTTTAGGTCTCTTTTAAAAACTCATTTATTTTTGTTGGCGTTTTGATACTTTATATTTGTGTTGATTTTATTTGTTTTTATTGATTCATGTTCTTATATTGGTGTTGATTTTGTTTGTGCTTGTGGGTTGTGTTTTTTTTAATATATATTGTTTATTGCAATGTACAGCACTTTGGTCCACCTTAGTTGTTTTAGTGCTTTATAAATAAAGTTGGTATGGTATGGCATTACAAGCTACTGTAGCTCAGACGGGTTTGTTAGGCTGCAAACTTCAATGGCTTATTTGGCGTGACAGTGACAAAGACTGACCAAAGCTTCTGATGTGAGATGAGTTTATTTATTTGGAGGAATAAGTTAGATGACTTTTTAAGCCTTAAAAAAAAAAAAAAAAAAAAAAAAATAATCTCTGTGAGACGGAATGACATCAACAGGTTTACAGCCTAAGTTTTTCATAAATAACATTAGCAGAAAAGTAATAATGACAGGGTTTTGATTTTTTTTTAAGCTCTCACCACTGAGTAGAGTAGATTAGATTCAACTTTGTCACTACCCATGTACATGTACAAGGCAAGGAAATGCAGTTTAGCATCTAACCACAAGTGCAATAACAGCAGTGAAGTGTGCGCAGGATCTATGATCTAGTATGAACAGTCAGAACTAATTTACCGATGGATATGTACACCAGATACAACAACAGATCACTTCAGTGTTACAGGTAATAGTAGTGTATTACATTAGTCCCGAGAGGAGAGATGAGAAGGGGTGAGGTGTGTGTGTAGTGTTATAGAGCAGGGGTCCCCAGACCAGTACCAGTCGGTGGATCATTTGGTACCGGACTAGTTATTTTTCTTTCATTAGTCTTACTTTGAAAAACGACTGTTTCCGCCCTT